AATTAATAAATTATTTATTATTTATTAAATTAAATATTACGAAATATTTCACTATTGACATATTAAAATTTTTAATTTTTGAATTTAATTGATATATTACATTTTTTTATATATTAAAATTTTGCTCTTAAACGCAACATATTCTATACAATTAAATTATTTTCAACTATTTGAGCTATTCATTTTCATTCGTTCATATACGAAAATTTTTTAGTACCCATTATTATATTTTAAATATTTTTATATATTTTTAATAATTTTTAATTGTTAATAATTTAAAAAAATCTAATAACAATTTTTTTATTTATATCTTATTATTTTTTTAATTTTTCGACTTGAATAATTCTTAAAATCTTTGGACTTATAATAATACTGGATTAGTTGTTTAATTGAATATTAAATTATTAATATTAGATTATAATGACTATATCTATTATTTATTATCACATATTTATCTTTATTTCAGGTCTTGATTTTCCAGCCTATTTACTTGAGATTTCAGTAAAACAATTAGCACAAAAATTAATATCACGTGAATTTGAATCTAAATGGGGAAGTCAATCTGAAAGTGTTGATGTTACATTAAATGTGGAACAAGCCCTCTATACTCGCGATGCATTGGCAAAGGATATCTATGCTAGACTTTTTGATTATTTGGTTAAAGTAAGTGTACATATATTTTTAATGATTAATCAAATATTTTATTATTATATTTATATATTATATATTAAATTGATCATTAAATTTTACGTAATAAATCTTTACTGTTAACACCTAATAATTACATTAATTGTTTAAATAATTTAAATTAATATTGTTTCTTTCTAATTATAATTTATTTTTACAAAATTATTTTTCGTACTTACATTACAAAAAATACAACATTTAAAATATTAACATTCATAATAAATTATTGACAATTGATATTATTATAATAATTTTTATTAATTACATTAAAAAATGTTTGCAAGAGCATTATAATTAAAATTAAAATTCTTTAATTATAATTAAATTATAATTAAAATTCTTTATTTTGTGAAGTTATAAATTGAATTTTTATATTTTTATTTATAAAAATTCTTTTTTAATAAGAATAGTAAATTTTTGAATTATAATAGTTTCTAGAGAAAAATATAAGAGGAAAATGAAAAATAATATTAAGTAATAATATTAAATTATAAATTATATATAAATAGATACAAACTATATGATATACATTAATATCTATTTACTTAAATTATTAGTATATAATTAGTTTTATATAAAATTGTAAGAAAAAATATGTAAAATATGAAAATCTTTATTAAAATTATATGTATTTAAAAAAATATAAAAATAAGATTAAAATTTGAATATATATAGGACATTAATATATTTGTGAGATATATTTGAAAGATCAATTCTGAAGATTAAAACAAATATAAAATTTGTTGTAAAAATGTTGAGATATAATTTATTTATTAAGTTACAAGTAATATAAATATTAAATTTATTATAAATAAAGAAAGAATGAAATACTAGTACAATAGAAATAGTATTGTCTTTTTGTCTTTACCTTGTGTTTTTGACATAAAATATCTAATCGAAATATTTCAAATTTCATTATTATATATATCTATTATCTACAAGGTGATTTTTAATTTAATTACATATTTATGTTCACAGAAAATTAATTCAGCTATGGAAATTAATACAGAAGGTCTTGAAATTGGGATTTTGGATATTTATGGATTTGAAATTTTTGAAAAAAATGGTTTTGAACAATTTTGTATCAACTTCGTAAATGAGAAATTACAACAAATCTTCATAGAACTTACTTTAAAAGCTGAACAGGTAAGTGTGGTTTTCATTTCAAATTTTTAATATATAATTCAATAACTTAATATTGAATCTTCAATCAAAAATTTGATTCTACTTCTATTTAAAATTGTCTTAAAATCTTTTAAATATATATAGAAAAAATATGTCTATTCAATTCGGAATATTCTATTTTTATATAATTTGTATTTATGTAATTTGTATTTCGATAGCAATTTGTATTTGAACTACTTTTAAAAATGTTTTAAATAGTTTTCTGATTTTATAAATAAAATATATCTTCTAAAATGATAAATGAGATATTTTTATATTTTTTACTTATAATAAACATATAATTGTATCATGAACTTGAGTATATCATATCAAATGATTATAGCCAAGTTATTGAATTAAATTAAATAAAAGATATACATTATTTATAAAATTAAAATATTATTTAATAAATCATAATTCTATCATAACTATTTATTTTTTATTTTTATTTTAAACAGTAAAATTTTATAACAGTTTATTCTATAAATTTTATTTTTTATAATATTGTTTTCTTTATTCTCTTTACATATTTTTATTTATAAATATACAAAATAATACATGTATGTACATTACTGCTCATAAATATTCGGACATTCAATTTATTTATAATAGTTTATAATAGTATATTAAAAAATATATTTATCATCATTTAAAAAAAATATAAAATATAATTTTTTAAAAAACTTTTTCTTATAATTTGAATTAAGTATGCGATCACTGTCCATAGATATCACTATTTAATTAATAATAGTTTTTTAGTTATTAATAATAGTTTTAGAAATTAAATAACCAAAAATAAATTTTTTTTATAACAAAATAATTTCACTTACTAAATTATAATTTTCCATTAGATAATTATGATAATAAAAACTAATTGATTAGTACTCATTTTTTTACTTATAAAATAAAACATTATTTATTTAAACTTATTTTAAGAGAAATTATATTAAATTAATTATATTATTTAATTATAATAAATATCAAAATATAAGTGATAAATATTCTTATTGTTAGAATTAAATTAAATTTTAATTATTCGTATATAAGAGCTCTCATCAAGCTAATTTATTCGCAAATTTATATAATATATAATTGCATTTTATTGAAAATAAAAAAATATTTGAATACTTTTGAACGCTATTGCATCTATAAAAAATTTATTATTGTTTATAATTATACATACATATAATAAAATTATTTTTGTATTAATTTGTAAATTGAAAGGTAAGTAATTCTTTGTACAAAAATAAATTAAAAAATAAAATTAAATACTTTCGAAACTTTATTTTTTCAAAATTGATTTTTTAGTGAGGACTAATATTATGATTGTCTTATGTAAAATTGTGTCATTTACGGATTATGAAATATATAAAAAAAATTTTAATTTCTATTTTTTATTATCTCCTAACAAAAGTGTTAACTGTAATTGATAATGTTTTAACAAAAAAAATGATTGAAAAATAATTGAAAAATAATTAATATTATGTAAGATTTAATATCTAAACTGGATTTTAATTTTATATTTGTAAGATCATTCATTGCTTTGAAAAAAAATTTCATTATTTATCTATAATATAACATCTAGAAATAATAGATACATATAAAAGATGACGTTTTTGATGAAATTTATCTTATTTTCAAAGTTTATCCATCAACCTTCTGTTTTGGATAGATTTTAGTGAAAATTAATATAATAAAAACTTAATATGATATTAAAAATAATCTAAATTTTAAAATAAAATAATAAAACAAAAATTCAAAATTTTATATATAAATTTAATATTTCTATTTATTACAACTAAAATCAATGACTTGTATTTATTATATAATATCAGTTCTACAATATCTATAAGACAAAAAAAAAATAATTCACAGATACTCATTTTTAGAAGTGTGTATCTTTCTTCATAATTTCTATATAACATACATATTTTTATATATACTGCAAATATATTTATGCAAAATTTAAATATATAAAAAATTTACAAAAGTTACATGACGTACATAAAATATTCGAAATATGATATATATTATGATGTTTGAAGAATAAAAAAAATTTCTATTTAAGCTCCATTTCCTAATTCATATTTATAAAAATTTGATTTTGCATAAACATTTACAGTCTACTCGTAATTTAATATTCTATATAATAATCATATTTTTTAATTTAATTGTACAAAATAAATTTATTTACAAGTAAATTGATTTAAAATGAACTTTTTGAAAATATCAACAACAATTATTCATATTTTTAATATGACAAATTTTCTATAATACGAATAATCTAATTGATATAGTAAAATTATTAATATTGCTTGTATTTAAGAGATATCCAATATTTCTTCATTTCTCAGACCTGAGAAAAATATTTCAAGTAAATAATTTGTACATTTTGAAAATTATCAAATATCGGAAAAATTATATTCCGGCAATATATTTGTTCTTCTTAAAGCGTATCTTTGAACAGGAGTTGTTTGTGCCATTAATATTCTGTTCGGTAATTTTGATGGTGGTGCAGGTATTTGTTTCGGTAACTCGCTAGATGTCACCATAGAACTCTCGGTAGTGGAGAGATCTTCCAAACCATATATTACAGCTACTCTATTAAGTTTCTTTATTTCATTCTTCGAAAGATGTTTCTTATATTCATGTTTCGTGTTAATTCGATACTTGAATTTCTTTAACGGATGAATTATTTTATTGTAATGAGATTTCCAATCAGTTTGCCTTTCTAGAGGAGGTGTCATTCGAAGAAATTCTATAGGATTGTTACTGGAAGTCGTTTTAGTATGATTATTACCTTTTTGAAAAGAACCGCTATGACCTCGTACGTTCACATAAACTTTTGGTCTGCTATTTTTTAAATAATAAAACTTTTCATCAAAATTTTGAAGTTTCGGAAGGCCTAAAATGCGTCTGTCTTCGTTAACATTCATCTTGAAATTTGAAGTTAGGCCAATATCTCTTACACCGAAAATTGAATGTGATATCACTTCCGGATGAGGATAAGTTTCATTTTGAATTTGTTCAGATTGTTTCAACATTACATGTATAATATTTTGAAGATTAGCAGCATTCATTTCATCCGGACTTTGGAGTTCGATTTCTACGAGACTGAAAAAAATATAATTTTTTATAACTTTTATTTTTTAGTTTATTTCAAACTCATATTTAATATTAATTGTGTTAATTCTTAGTTTATTTATATTTAATGATTAAAACCTATATTGTTCAGATTTTAGATTTATATCATAAAAAATAATATGAATTGATTTTATTATAGTAAAATAAAATTTGATTCATATTCAAATTTAATAAAATAGATTTGCAAAAACGAAAATATTCGAATTATATATAATAATATATATATATAATAATAATTTAATATATTGAGAATAATGTTATTATATATAATATATATATTATAATATATTATAATAATAATAATATTACTATTATTATATTAATATTTATAAATATTAATATAATAATAGTAATATTATTATTATTATAATATATTATAATATATATATTATAATATATATATTATAATATATATATTATAATATATATATTATAATATATATATTATAATATATATATTATAATATATATATTATAATATATATATTATAATATATATATTATAATATATATATTATAATATATATATTATAATATATATATTATAATATATATATTATAATATATATATTATAATATATATATTATAATATATATATTATAATATATATATTATAATATATATATTATAATATATATATTATAATATATATATTATAATATATATATTATAATATATATATTATAATATATATATTATAATATATATATTATAATATATATATTATAATATATATATTATAATATATATATTATAATATATTATAATAATAATAATATTACTATTATTATATTAATATTTATAAATATTTTATTTTTATATTTAAAATCAAAAATATATATCTAAACAATATATATACATATAAATATTAATACGTATAAATATTATGTATAGATAAATAGTTTATATACAAGCTAATACAATATTTTTATTAAATAATTATTGATAATTTGGCTCAAATTTAACTTAAAAAAAAAATCACATAAGAAAGTTATTAATACTTACGAATAATTTTTGTAGTTAATAGTAAAATTATAAACAAATATTAAAATTTGGGAATTTTTTTGTGATATAATGAATCATAAAACCAATTTTGCAATCAATTATAATATTTTTTATATTATAAATAAAAATTATCTTGATAACTGTAATAGTAATATGATTTTAAAACTAGTTAGAGAATAAATGGAGAAAATATGCTTAATATTAACAGCTCTTATTAAGTTAAAAGAATGAAATAATAACTTAATTGTAAATATGATTATTATACCTGTAATCGTTGGTATTAGCTTTTTCCACATTAGAATTTTGTAAGAAATTTTGTAAATGCTTTCCCTCATAGAATTTTTGATCATTTTCTTTTCGATCAAAGCGTTGAATATAATTTGGTGAAGAAGGTGGCCTTGGAAGAACCATAGCTGAGAATGATCGATGTATGAGTGCAAAGAGCACCGTTGCCGTATAATAATTGATTGCTGTTAACATTCTGGAATATGATTTCATATTTTTAATATTTTGTTTTTAAATTTTTTAATTTTAGACAATTGTCAAAAAATATTATTATTATTATTCTTAAATTTAAAAATTGTAGAAATGCAAATTTATAATTATAATTTTCCTGCTAATTATTATGCAAATAAAAAATATTTATGTAATAATATATCATTTTTTCAAAATTAATTATTAGATAAAAAAGTTTTTGTTTCATTCTTTGATAATAGAAAAATATATAATAAAATAAAAAACTATTTATAAATTTTATCTAATTACTATCTAATTACTTTTATCTAATTACTATCTAATTACATGTATTGGATATATGTTTAAAATTGTACAT